AATAAAAATTCAAAAAAAAAAAAGGATTGAAAACCTCAAGCAGCCACCTGACCAAAATAATGAGAAAAACGCGCCAAGTAAATAAAAACGCGTGAGACAAAACGGAAGCGACCGGCGACCCTTTTTTTTCTCGTTTTATTTTCCACGCTTTTCCCTCGGACGCCTTTTGTCTATTTTGTTCTGTTTGTTTGCCAGTGCTTTATGCCGTGGAAATTAACGCAAGTAACTGCGTGGAAAATATGCCATGTCCTTTTCCGTGTTTGCGTTCGTTTCCGTTTTGGTGGCCCACCTCGATTGTTTTCTTTTTGCTCCATCTCAACGGAAAGTCGTCGATGTCCGCCTTCGATTAGATTAGCCAGAGAGAAAAAAAAAAGGATCGGGTCCGAAAAAATGATGAACAATTTCAAATTGTGGCCACAGTATAAGAAGTATTAAGACAAATTTTCATATTCAAAAGGTTACTTGAATTAATGGTATTTTTTTTATTTAAATTTCCTACCTAAATATAATTTGAAATTGAATTTTTATTTAAAGTTCGCTCAGTACTTTCAGAACATTTTTGAGCTTACCCAGCTAAGCCAACAAATGAGTTTACTTTGTACTTTTCTGAAAAACCCAGTTTACTCCTTTCAATTTCCCTTTCTCCAAGTTCTTCGAACATTTTTACTTTGCCCTTGCCAAAGATTTTAGTCCTTCTTATATGAAGGGCAGTGTTCACTTTTGGTTTTGTGCATATTTAATTATTGCCTTTTTTCTTAGACGCTTTAATTGTATTTGCCTAGCATTTTGACCAAAGTGCACACAAACACACACACACACACACACACACATACATATACATAGAGAAACAGGGGTTAAGGACACGCCCCTGCCATTTCGAATTTAAATTGCATGGAATTTGCAAACTGAAATTAAAATAGTTAATGATTTTTTGGTCAGGCGACTTAAGTGGCGACTCAATTGGCAAAAGGGGGTTGGGTTTCTCCTCAGAGAGGGGGGGTGGGGGTCAGGGCAGACCTGAGTAATTGAAAAAGCATCGTCTGTGGAAAAGTGGGCAGAAAATTACTGGTGGTTGAGGGATGGCTAAAACTGGAGGCAAAAGACAAATAGAGAGCGCAACTGTAGTGCAAACTTTTGCGGCGACAAACTGACACAGAGGGCAACCCTGTGTTGCCTTGCCCCTCCACACGATTTCCTCATCTCCCTCTAAATTTCGCCTTACATGTAAATGTTGTAAAAGTTTTTACGATTTGCCAAACTATAAAAGTGGGAAGGGCCTTTTAAGCGGGAAGTACTAGGGAAGGGGGGGCGCAAAAAAAAAATGAGTAAGAAGTAGGTGGGGAAGGGGTTTACAGTAGCTTAGTTGGCAGCTCCATTTGGATACTTGCAATATAATAAACTAAGTAATTACATATGTGTGTGCGTGTGGGCGTGGCTCAAAGAACTATTTGAATTCGACCATAAAACGAGGCGAATGCAAAAAGTGCGCCCAGATTACCTTGACATGTGAAAAACCACCCACAATCATGACCCTCTGTTTGGCCATCCATCCATCCGCGTTCAAGTTCCCCAGTTGCCTTTCACTTTTTATGACAATTTCACTTTCACCGGAAAAGGCAAGACAGAGAGAGAGAGTGAGCATTGAAGGAGAAGGGCCTTGCGTGTGTGACCATTTCATATAGGCATTTGTAATTAGGCCTGCAAGACCCAACCCCACAAAACGACACCATCCATCCAAACCATCTTCCCTTGTTTTTATACGCCCTTTACAGCCCAACGCTGAATGACACTAAAACGTCAAAGAAGCTACATCCATAAACTTCCATAATCGTAAATATAGATTTGTGCAGACACGTAGGTAACTAAAGTCCAATGTCACGCCCATTTTGGCTATAGTTTGCACTTTACTTCAGTTTATACTACACTTTTAGGTCTTTGACTTGACTAACAAACTATAGGAAACCCGCTAGAACTTTTAAATGTAAAAATATATTTGATTTTTGAAAGTCAATCAAGTTAATTCCAAAATGAAAGAAAAAACTTTCCTATACTTATATTTAGCTAATCAAATGACAACAATAAGGATAGAAGAGGTCCTGAGGATAATATATGTCTATCTGGGCATATAATTCTCATTTACCAGGAAGATGAAAATTCAAGATGGGGCCACAACTCGGGCATATTTTGCTCTAATGACACTTTGAACAGCTGTTAGATTTCCTTTTGCTCTTTTTGCCTTGCCTTGCGAGAACGAAGCAACGAATCCACGCACATATTTGAAGACATAAATAAATGTCAGAAAATGCAGATTACTTATTAACCCCTGTGGCGTGCCACAAGAAAAAATAAAAAAAAAAACGAAGAACGAAGAACGCGTTTTGCCTTCGCCTTAGCCGCGATATTATTCATTAATACAAAACCCGGGGTAAGGAGAAATCCACCCAATCCACCGAACAACCAACAACCACCACCACCCCCTGGTGGCCCCCACGCGGCGCTTTTGCCACCTTTTTTTTTTTTTTTGGGCACCGATGGATGGAGAAAATTATTAGCTCTTTGGTAATATTTTCTTGCATAAATTTTTGAATAATTTTTACCACTCCTTCCTCCTTTTGGTATCTTCTCGTGTGCCTTCTGCTCTCTCTCTCTCTTGTTTTGGGTAACGCTTTATTTTCAATTTATCCCTCATTGTTCTCTCTAGCAGGTTTTTCCTTTTTCACCTTCTCGAGAGTGGCATAAAAATTGAATCCTAATCCATGAATATAGATGATTATTATATGCCCCACGCTACAGTAGAGAAACCAGCGGGATGGCAACCATTAGAATATGCCGCTTCTTCTTCCCCATCGTTTTCTTCTGGTGTTTTGGTAATTTTCCCTTTGTTTTGCATTTTGCATCCAGTCCAAGTCCATCCATCCGAATCCCAAATCTCGTATCGCCGACGAAAAACAAGAAAACCCATCTCCATTTTTATTTTGGTGGACCAACAGCGAAATGAAACGCCGCCAAAGTTGTCGTAAAATTTTGTTATGACTTTTTTTTTCTTATTGCCATTGGAAAATGTTGCTCTAGGGGAGGTGATCCTGAATCCCTAAGTTACTTCCTGCTGGTATTTAAAGTTGTAAAAATTGTTGATGTCTGTCTGGTATTGGGTGCCTAGAAAATTTCACTTTTTGCTTTGGTTTTTTCAGTGGGGATATCTATTTTTATACTCCCTAGTTATGAAAGTAAATTATATTATATTAGTAAAGGAAATAAATTTAAGAACTTAAAACTCAAGAAGACTGCATTAAACTTTTGCCAATTTATTCATAAAGGTTTTTCGCGGCTAAACATAAATAAATGCATAAATAAATTATCAGAAAATTAAGAATTTTTGCAATTAAAACTACAAAACTAAATTACAAATGCATTGCGCCAAAAGGGGGGAGCTGACAGAGGTTAGCTTAACGAGCAAATAATAATGACCGCGGCATTTGTAATAACAATAATGAAAAGCCATTTGGCCATTTGGCCATTTTCTACCGGGCTAAAACTGTGAACTCTCTCTCGGCCTGGCCAACCAAAACAATAATAACAACAACAACAACAAAAACGAACGGCCATAACAATTAATTAACAAATAAAATGTCAATTAATTTTACAAACACTGCTGCGCAAAATACACAGGGGGAAAAAATGCATATATGTGGGCATAAATATATACAAATATATATATATATATATAACAATAAAATTTACAGCGAATGCGAATCGCAATTGCACACATTACGCATACGCTGCAAAAATAAACAAACAGCCCACAGTTTTCCGCGCTCCATTTTCCTCCTCCTACCCCATACGTAAAACCCGTGCTAGCCTTTGCCAACCAACGGAAATTTTCTCATTTATTTATGATTTCAATTTCAATATTAAAGGTGTGTGTGGTGTGGTATGTGTGTGTGTGTGTTATGCGTGGGCGTGGAAATTTAAACAAGTTGACTGGCGGTGAAAGCATTTTTTGGTATTTTAAATATTTAATTGAATGATAAATAAATTTAAGCCTTTTCCCATACACACGAAAAAAAAAACCAACAATTGATGCACACAATCAACGCCAGAGGGGCGGGCGGGGGGCTATAATATTGTAAATTACGAGAAATGGATTCTGGAGAAAGAAATAGGGACAAACGAAAAATTGCACTCCTGCGTGCTTGTGTTTATATGAACCACCCAATGATTGTGGTCAAGGCAAATAAATATTTATACTGGGCAAGATGGGGTTAAAAAGCATCTGAGAATGTAATTAATAAAAAGGTTAAAAAATATAAATAATAGATTTTTGTTGGACTAACAAATAAATCTCTCCATACTTAATTTATTTAGCATTTTTTCTTAAGAAAAAATATATTTTTACAGGGTATCTTGATAGTGTAGACCACTTTCATCCATTTTATGACCGCACACATACTCAGCTATTCGAACGTTGGTCGCCATTTCGCTTGCCGCAGACGAAAAACGCAATTTAATTATTACATTTGGACTTTTTGGCCTGGACCCCCCTCAGCTTCTACAGCAGTTCCAACCAACCAATTCCACTTTTCTACCCAATTCCTTTTACTGACTGTCCAAATATTTATTTACTTATTTATTTAAACATTTATTTATCGTATTTACTTGCGTTTCATTTGCCATTCATTCCCCAGTGGGGATTGGTTGTGTCATTTTCCTGAGGACGACTTGGTGGGCATTGTTCGCTTTCGTTTTTGCAATCATTGAAACCAAATATTCCATTCGGACGAAATTTACATTTCAACTTCATCTGCATCTTCATTTACTGTGCATGTGTATTCTGCATATTTTCTTTTATTACTTTTATTATATCTCTCGCATCCCTCTTACCGCCACGCCCATTTTCACCGCACAACTAATAAAACTTTATCTTTTTTAATATCGACTGGCGGGTGCTTTGTGGGTGGTTGGATTGTAGGTGGTGTAATATTTTACAGTCTCGAAAAGTCTGCAAAATTTTTACTTTTACTCATTGTACAAGCCAACTAGCTAAAGTTCGGAAAATATGCAAAATAGATGACAGGGCAATGAAATATAGAGAGAGGGGAAGCGGAAAAATTGAGGAGGGAGGATGGATTAGGGGGAATTCGAAAGCTGAGGGAAATTCCTCATCAGCCAGTTGGATATTGACTGGGGAATAATACCAAATTTCCAGCGGGAAAACTTCAATGCAGAGTAAAACAAATTGTTGTAGACTAAATATGTTCCTATTTGATGATTTTTGTAGAACGAACAGTCATTCATAATATATAGATATAGACTATATAAACCGAACATTCTGTGATTCATCTTTCAAAGAATGGAGTAGACTTAAAAATCCAAAAAAATATGACATTTTCCTTGCCAAAGTGCAGACGCATTAGTCCCCCAACAGAGCGCTGTATCATTGCCATAATATTAACTCCATTTATACGCACAGAACCTTTCTGCAATGTGCTTAAAACTATTCAATTAGTTATATATTTTACTCTATACATATGGTATTACGTGGTCTACGTAATGCTGTCCCTCCTCATTTTATAGGTGAGCTTTAGTTTTTGAAGAAATATTCACATCTTATTGATAAAATCATTTGCCTTAGAAAAACATCATTCTCCTTATTTATTTTATTTTCAAACAATTTTTACGAGTTTTGCTCTTACTCGTTTCAGCGTTGGCGACAAGAATTCTTGTTCGCAGTCAATCAAGCTGACCATCATCAAGTTCGTATTCTATAAGTTTTCGAATTACAAAGTATACTTTTTCCAAACACACAATCCTTGATAACCCCGTCAGAAAATATTTAATACTAAAAAAACCCAACCATGATATTTCGCTTGAAAAAGTGCTGCTGTATAATTTCTTTAAGAAATGGCTGCATGATCAGTGCTCTTATATTATTATTTTTTCAACTACTGGCCGTACCTATAAGAAACACGAAACCTTGCTGCAATAACTTTGAAAGTATTTTACTAATAATATGTAGGATTGTTGATATAATCCATTGCATTGGATGCCTAATGCTGTTCGCAGCCTCTTATCTTGTGAGTTTTAAGTCCTTTGAAGTTAATTTGTTTTGATTTGGCTAAATTATTTTGACCTCCTTAGAAACTATCCCTTTTGGTACTTATTTTTCTTGTCACAAATTGTTTACGCGCATTGCTGTTTCCTGCTTTTTTGGTAGCCGAAATTTTAATTTGGAATGTAGATATCTTTGATCTAAGTTTTTCAATCTGTGGTCTTCGTAAGTCACTTCGTATCACTTATTTAACATTTTTAATATTCCTGAATAGTTTTGAGCATTTATTTTTGGATAGTGGCCTACGCCTATTATTACAAATGCCAGGAGGAAGTCAGTGCTGATGAAATTCCCGAATCCATTCTGCGTAAAAAAGGATCATCATTGGTTTAGTAAAATTTGTAGCCAACAAACTAACATACTTTGTTAAGTTAGTGATATGAAAAAAAAAATTAAGTAACAAATATAGCTCAAAATCAATGGAAATTTTGCCATTATATGTTACACATATATATATATATATATTTTATATATATTTCATTGAATTCGAGTTAAAAAAAAAATGTCTTAACTAAAGAATTTTCTAGAGGTCATATCCGGTAGCCTTGTGATTGTGGTTTGGAGTCGAAAATCGATTTACCCGGTGGAAGCAGCCGTGGTTGAAGGCGGTGGACCGCAACGGCCACCAGGTGGAGGACCCGATGGCCGAGGTCCAGGAGGTGGAGTGCCACTTGGTGGAGGACCACAGCCAGGTCCCTGGGGATAGGCCATCTAAATGGATAAGAATTTAAAATTAGTTGTAAATTAATTACAAAATATATTTAAAAAGAGTTATGAGAGAGGCTCACCGCAAATGTACTGCAAAGCAGCACCAGCAGCAGACCAATAAAATAGTTCAGGTTCAGATGCATCTCTTCGAATGTCCAGATGTTAACTGTTGACTATTTGAGTTTTGCTAGCCACTTTTATAGCGAACCGATACAATAGACCGAGCGTGTCAAATTGTTATTACGAAACACTCCGATCCTCTCGCAATTAATATAAAATTAAGTTTTTAGCAATGGTGTGAAATTGAGGGAATTTGTTGTTTTTCATATTCAACAGACTGACAATTATAGTTGGCCTAGAAAAACAATCCGATTATTTATATTAAATCATTATAGATCAATTTCTGAATGGCTAACGAGATTTGCGTATATTAGTAAATAATTCTCGTAACACAATGATGTTCATTAAATGATTATAATTACCCTGACAGCTGGTACGTGTCGTATGAGTTATACTCATTTGGCTACCTCGCCTCCTTAGATGTTTTGTGTAAGACAACGCGGCGTATGCGTAATTTTCGCATGGCTGGCTAAAAAGTTTTCTTGCCGCGAGCGAAAAGTCGAAACCCTGTCTGGAATTTCACACCTTATTGCCTCCGCATCTGAAGCAAAGGTCCTAAAACAATTAGCGATTGTTTCACCTCCCGGCACTGGGAGATATTCAACACCAGAAATTGTGTTGCCAACTTGGCAATATTCTAGCGTTTATTTTGTTTGATAAATTATTTATTTTTAGCTTGTAAGGTTTAGAAAAGATTACAAGTACTTTTTTATGATTAAATCCATAACATTTTTAAGATTTTACCATGAAATTTTACACATTAGAGAAAGGCACAACCAAGTTAGAATAATAATAATAATAACCAATTTTATTTTCATTAGCCGACATCGTCATTTGCTAAAAAAAAACCCTAAACCGATTCCTTTGGAGACTTAATTGGTGCCGTGTCTGTTCAATGGTTTTAGGTGTATCTTGGCTAAGTTTATCCATAGAGGCAGGCGTTCAGGTGGTTCATGCCTCACGTGGCTTGGCCAAACCAAAAAGGGTGCCGACTGCATTTTGGCTCGGATTGCATATTCATGTACGAGCACAGTAACCAGCACGTTGGTGGCCTGCCATGTTCATGTTCCGTCTGAGGCTTAAGCTCAGTTAGCCGGGTTTGCCTGTTAGCTTGTTGGCTTCTTGGTTGGCCGTAAAACTAAAATAATAGCCGCATAACATTTTATCTACCGCAGTAATAAATATTCAGTTAATTATAGTAACCAGTGAGAAGCGGTGAGCGAAGTGGAGAGAGAGCGCAGTATTCTATGAAAATGTTTACAGTAATAAAACACCAAAAACTTACTAGAACTATCTAATACAAACAAAAAAAAAGAAAAAACAAAAAAGAGCTACAATGTGAAACTAGTGAACCATTGGTTAAGTGGCAGCAACATTGTTTTATTCCACTAGTTGGTTTAGATGAACTTGATCTCCATTCCTTGAATTTTGGCTCACGTGCGAGTTAAGTTTAACGATGCAACCACAATCACGAGCACTATTATTAGGCCAATAATTATATAGAAACAAATGCACATCGCTTTGATCCGTCAATAAGCTTCAGGTATCAGGTCAACAGATTGATAATGTGGCTTTTGGGATATGTACTGTATGTTACTTTTGACTTTTGACTTAAAAAACAGAACAGCCTTACATATTTTTTATTTTTTGACAAGGGTGCCGAACGAAGGCTATTGAATCAATTTCCTGCTATATCTTTTAGATTAAAACTAGTTTATTTTAATCTTATCATTATATATTATCATATATTATCTTCAACCCAATTCCTTCTCTGACAAGTATTTTCCTTTGCATTTCCATCATATTTAAATGGCCATTGTGGCCCTTTTTCCTTACGTCTTGTAGTCAAAGACAAGGCAGTTTATCTTTAGTTTGGAGTTTGGGAACACGTTTTCGAGGATGTCACCGCAAAATGGGCCACCATCCCACTGAACGATCGCCAACCCAAGTCGGCAACAACAACAAGAACCATAAGATGAGAGCAAAGGACTCCTCTCGTTTTCTTGTCGACCCTTTTTCGCCGTGGCATAACCGTTAAAATTTGTATTTTGCGGCACTTGCAAGTGGAGAAATGGGGCAGCCACCCAACATCATACCACCACCCTACTAACAATGGTATTGTTGTTGCCCGGACTGTACTTGGTGGTTATAATAATTAAAATGAGCAAAATAATTTCAGATGAAAGCATCGATGAAAGGCTAAAATGCTCAATAAATGGGCATACCCCCCAACCACCAACCAATTTCCATCCTCATTTACTTCGTTGACAAAACAGTAACTCAGCGCTTGTTTTAGGCGTCAACCAACAACCAACATCCATGACCCACCCCATTCAATACCCCCTTTGGGGGCAATTAAAATATATACACAAAAAAGCAAAGGCAAGAAAAAGTTGCCAAAAGTTTTCCCATCGATGACTTGCTGGCAGGAAGACAAAAGGGGTTTAAGGCTAGGGGGTACTGGTGGTGCTGCCATGTGATATCGATGGTGTGGATGTGGAGTTGAAGGCGGCGTAGCTGCCACCACAGTTGGCAATGCGTAAAAGTGTTAACCAAAAGCAGTTAAAATTACAAAAGGTTGAGTTCCATGGCAATGGCAACCAGGGCACCGAAAAATAAAGAGGGGGGCTAATAAAATTGGCCAGAGAAGGGGCTGGGGGATGTGGATGGGCGGTTCTACAAAAACATAGAATCGGTGTGAGTTTTGGATGGCGTACAATGTCGTTGGCTCTTTGAAAAATTAACACCTAATATCCGCAAAATCGCATCAAAGTATTGTTCAAGTTGCCTTTGTTAAGAAAACTTTGCAATTTCTTAAAAGTGTCGCTCAACCATGGCACCCACTTTTTTGGCAGCCCTCCCCATACCCTACCACTTTTACATTTTGACCCCGCAGCTGTTTCTAGTTGTAGGCGTTATTAGCAACACTTAAGAAGCCGGCAATTGGGAATTGTTAGATTGGGGGTTTTCATTTTTCCATCACAAGCTCTCTTCTCCCCCTTCTTCGAAATTTGAGACAAAGGAGCGAAAAATGTTTGGGGATTGGAGAGGAGGAGGGTTTGTTGGTTGGGTTTGGGTGGCAAGTAATGTTGCCATATTTCAGCCTTTGTTTTGTTTTCGTTTGCTGCTGCTGTTGTCGTGTAAATTGACACCACAGCAATGAGTTAATAAGGCGATCTGGTGAAAAAGTGTGCGCCTCGGAAAATTAATGTTCCTCCCAAGGATGATCTCCGTAGCTGGCTTCTTTTTACAATCCTTTCAAGCGAATCACATTTTTTTTTTATTTTCAATTAATTATTTATTAAACTTAACGTGTTCTTTTATTACCTTCTTAAAGGTAATTTGCACATGGCCACATATGAGTTACCAAAGTGGGTTTTAGTGTATGACACAAAGGGAATACCCTGTTATATTAGAAGAATTCTACATTAAAGGCAACATACTCGTATAATAGCCATCTTCATAGCTTTACATGATTAATAATAGCTCTTATATTTCGTACCTATCCCTTGGGCCCTAAATACCCCGCTCAATTGATAAATCTACATTTTTCAAAGGCAATCTGGACCGAGCGTAATGAATGAAACCTGTTTGACTGCAATACCTTGTATGCCCATGGATACTTTATTATCTATAAAAGTGTTTATGCATCTGAGTGTGTGTGTGTGTGTGTGTGTGTGTGTGTGTGTGTGTGTGTGTGTGTGTGTGTGTGTGTGTGTGTGTGTTTGTCTGTGGGTTCTATATACTCGTATATCACACATGGAAATGTAAAAGGCTGCTTATATGTGTGAGTGTGTGTGTGTGTGTTTTTTAAACATATTTATACCCTTTAATCTTAGAGTAAAAGGGTATATCGTATTCGTTGAAAAGTATGTGGTACAGGTTAAAGGAAGCCTTTGAAGTAAATATATTTTTGATGAGAATCAATAACCGAGACGATTAAATCTTGTCCGTCCGCCTGTCCATCCGTCCAATCTGAAGATTATTTCACAATAAGCTCTAAGGCGGCGCTGCCTCAATCTCTGCTGGCAATGATTTAAAAAATCTAAAATTAAACAATACAGTAACGGGTATCCTATAGTCCCGACACTCAACTATAGAGCGATACCTTCTTGTTTTAATTATTTTCATTTCGTGTCTTTTAATTAGCATGCCTAATAAAACACATGCCCAAAAAAGCGAACCAATGGTTGGGTATGGAGGGGTTGCAGGCTGCTAAAGCATAAAATGATATTGTCAGTCAGTCAACCCAGTCAGCCAGTCAGTTAGTCATTCAGGCATTCAGATGTATGCAAATAACATCCCTAACATACGTGGCAAGAGAAAAACTTGGAAGGCCTTTGAATCGCTTACTACATCCTGCCTAAAAATCCCCAAATATAAATAATTAAAAAGAAAATGTTGCTGGCAAATCAAGCGAGCATAATTACGAGGCTGCAGTATCCCAAAAAAAAAAGAAGAAAAAAAAACAAACCAGTACATTTTCCACCCTCTGGTTATGAGTGGAAAACTCTTTTGCGGTTTCTGGTTTTTTGTTTGTTTCCAAATGCATAATGTTGATTATGGCAATAATTTTATGAATTTATGTAAACATTCCACGCCGGAGCAGCAGACTGATGGCACAGGCAAGGTGGGCATTACGATAAGAACCTGTCCTCTCAGTTCTCGTGGCCCACTTAAAACACCACCTTCTTAACCCTTTCGATGGGCTGGAGTTCGGGTTCTTTTAACCACCAGGCTCAAGACGCTTGAGGATTCACTAGTCACTGGATGCATATTTATTTTACGCATATTTTCCACATTTTAGACTCCAAGTAGGGACTAGGTTTTAGGATATTATTTCTATAAAATCTAGTAAACCATTATTTTCCAAGAGCAAACCATATATTTTTTGTATTTAAAATATTTTTAGATTTTATGATTCTCATTTACCAGTCATCCCTTACGATTTTGCTTTAAATTAATTTCGGTTTGTATAGCGAATTTTCTTTTATGGTTTTTCCCCTCATATTTATCCCCTTCCCCTTTTGGACTCATTTAATTTACCGTTCAATTCCA